CGGTGCTATCGTCATCGCATCGAGTTTCTCTCTCGGCCAGCTCATCGCTGGTCGTCTTATCCTTGGCGTCGGAGTGGGTGGGGCGGCTGTTATATGCCCCCTTTACATAACTGAGCTGGCTCCCACTGCCGTTCGTGGGCGTTGTGTCGGGACAAACGGCTTCTGCATTCCATTCGGCCAGACAGTCGCTGTCGCCATTGGTGCCGGCATGCAGCACGTCAAAGGCAACTGGCGGATCCTCTTCGGTCTTGGCGTTGTGCCCTCGCTTCTGCAGCTCGCCCTCATGCATAAGCTCCCGGAGTCGCCTCGTGTTCTTATCCTTCGTGGTCAGGACGACAAGGCTCGCGAAGTACTCAAGAAAATCTACAAGTACGCCTCACCCGAGATCATCGAGCTCAAGTTGCGCATCGTTAAGGATCACATTGCCGCCACCACGGCTCTGAAACAATCGACCACTTTTTGGCAACGCTCCAAGAAGCTGTGGACTAACAAACAGTACCGCCGTTCAATTTTCACTGTCAGTCTTATCCAGGTATTTGGTCAATTCACTGGATTCAACACCCTTCTTTATTACGCTGGCACGCTGTTCGGACTCCTGGGCCTTTCCAACCCGGCTGTTGGCGGTTTGATCCCCTCGGTCACTAATACGTTCTTCCTTCTTTGTGGTATGGTCATGGTGGACCGGATCGGTCGCCGTGGGCTGCTGATGAAATTTGGCCCTATCATGGTTATCGGCCTCACTTGGTGTCTAGTCGCTTTCTACTTCATGTGCAAGCCCACAGGACACGTCCTCGTTGATGGCTATCCCTATCCCCAGAAGGATGTCGGCCTGGTCATCGCCGGAATCGTTATCTTCGTCGCCGGCTTCGGTTCCACCTATGCACACCTTTGTTGGTACCAGTCCGAGTACCTCGCCCTCGAGATTCGTGCGGCGGGCAGTGCTATCAGCACGACCGCAAGCTTTACAGCAAATTTGGTGGTCGCCGTGTCCTTCCTGAGCGAGTCCGTCTCTCTCCCGTTTGAGCATTGGGCAATTTGGCTGACCCGATTATAGACTCGAACAGCTGACTCCCAGTGGGACATACGGTCTATACCTCTGCTTCATCATCATCGGCCTTGTGCTTGCCTACTTCTGCTACCCCGAAACTAGTAAGCAATGGCCCTCAGTCGAGTCTTGGTATGTTGCTAATTTACCTTTCTAGAGGGCCTATCGGTCGACGAAGCCTTCACCCTCTTCGACGATGGCTTCGGCGTCAAGAAATCAAAGGAGATGCGACGAGAAAAGATCGAAATGCGAAAGACCTACAACGCCGGGGGCCTTCATGCGGGCGTAACCGAGGTGGTAGACAAAGGCGAAGCCTCCCACGCGGAGAATGTGGATCCCGTCAAACCCATTGAAATTCAAAGTGTTGGGGGTCTTAAGGCCTGATGTTTCAAGCATCAACACCGCCCAAAACGCGTTCATGAATTAGCTCTTAGTTAATTCCACCACCTACTATGCCAGAAATTCGCTCCCGAAGCTCTAGAAATTCAGTAGAGAAATAGGGTAATATTTTTTTAGTATCTAGGCTATTAAGAACGAAGAAATTAGCTCAGTTCGCGCTGCAGCCCGCTGTTTTAAAGTGCCTAAGTCGACACTTCGCGCCCGTCGCCGTGGAGACATAAACTGTGCGATTTCACGCGCCAATTCATATAAACTAACAGAAATTAAAGAGGAATCACTTCTAAAAGTGGATTCTTTTAATAGATCCCCGCGGAGCAGCTCCCCGGCCTTCTACTGCAAATTTTTACTCGAATCGTGTGGAATAACCCTAGCTCTTCAGTCCTTGAGAATTAGGTTACAAAGTTTGTGAAAATCTATCTCGTATAACAACCCAGGACATATGTTGATCTAAAGGAAGTGAAAAACGCGTCTATATTTCAATAGGGCAACGAAACTGCCGAAGGAAAAGAGCTAGAGCTGCTGGGGCAGCGGTTTAAGTACATAGCGTTCGCAACATTGTTTGATCCTCCTCTTCGATTCTGTGTCACATGATAGACTCTGATTGATCCTCTTCCGCAGAGCCGCACGCTCGCACCTGTTTCTACCGTAATGCCGTCTTTGTATCCATGTGTGTTGTCACACCCTACCCGATTACCTTTTCGATCTTAGGGATCGACCCCTTACTCCACATCAGCCAATTAGCCAGTAGCCTTCAAACTGCGCCCTAGTCTCAAGAGGGCGTGTATAGAAGAAGAAGAATAAGATAACAATATGACAGTGGAACACAGAAGCAGTGAATTAGAAACCAGAGTTTGGCTAACAGCAATATCAACTGGCGACGCGCGCTTCGCAAGCTAATGCCCTGAAATGAAATGAAGGGAGTGAAAGTAGCAGCAAAATAAAGATAGGAAGACGAGATGGCAAGTAGAGACTAGAGCTGGACACGATATCGGTAATTTGGCGATATCTGATCGGCTTTTGGCGATCCGATATCGGATCGGCAGGTCAATTTTTTTGACGATAATTATCGCATCGCCATCGCCAGAAGGTTGGCGATGCCGATATGGGGACACAGCAGAACGGGGGTAAAAAGATAACGTGACCTAGACCCACCGGGGGCTAAAAACTTTTACCCCCGGTAGCCTTAGTAAGCCTCAAAACTAGTGCTATTTGTTTTTATTCAGCTGTGGGCTTACAGCTGATCGAATGTTAGAATGGGACCGCTAATTTAGCGTGAAGGAAAATATATTAATCCGTGTTAATCCGCGTTTCGACCATCTATCTGCTCAGAGGGGTCTTAGCGAATGTCGAGATCCCTCTTTATACTAGGATGTCTTCATAGCTTATAATAGACGTTCATAAAGACCCCGTGATCATTATTTACAGTATTATCTTTACCACTAAATCCTATCTTCTTCTGTACTAGGGTATTATAACCCCTAAAAGAATCCCGACATTCGCTGATGTCTGACATTCGCCGAGCTCTCGGAATTCGGATTAATACATGTTCCTCTGGGCCAAGAGGCGCTAAAAATTAGCGGTCCCATTCTAACATTCGACCAGCTGTCGGTCGTTCAGCTGTTACCCCCTATTGCTCACAATTGCATTATTTCTGTATACAACATGGCTACCGAAATACCTCTTCCAGTATTACGAAATGTGGTTCGAGAGCAGCAACTCTCTTTTCAAGATGAACCATGGCCTCCACCACGCCCTCTAACACCACCAGAAGAGCTTGAAAAGCGACGGTTGTGGCATGAAAAATCTGCCGCAAAAGAACACTTTGCTAAACTTACATACAATCTTCAGGTATTTATTCTTTTTACATATTGATTACATATCAGCTACATAACCTAACTATATTTTTATTATAGCCCGAAAGTGATTCCGAGTCTGTATACGAAGATGCTGAAGAAGAGTTTGAATCTGATCGGGGTGGGAGATCAGATAGTGAGACAGATATTGAGGTATATAAGGATATTGAAGCTTTCCCATTTAGCTTAGGACTTCGTGAAGACGATCTTAATGATCCTCGCGGAGCTCTGATTAGTGCGAACAGTTCTCATAAAGTCTTTGCAACAACTCGTGAAGAGCACATATCATTCCCTGATTATCCTGCGGTATCATCAGGTGGTGTTCTACACTCAATCTATCTATCAAAAAGTCCATTTGCAGACTTGAACATAGAATCAGCAACGGCAAAAGATGTAACGCCAATCTTTACCCAGCTTGCATCACATGTGAGTACTCTATTATTGTTATGGTGAACATATGTTAATGATATGTTCCAGATCCAGTTCTCGCTTAGCAAAGTAAGCGTACCTAATGAGCTTTCACTCCGGCTTTTACAAGCATATCCAAAGGATGAAAATGCACGTGTATGGCATCGACAATACAATTGTAGTGGGATTCAACGCTGCCAGCTATCCCATCCTGATATTATTACTCCCTGTGAGCAATATAATCGAATAAATCCCGAGATTTTTCGAGAGATTCGAAAGAAGGCTGCTGTTCCGATTCTTCAAACTGTACGACAAGAGATCGAAGCTAATACACGAGTGTATGATCATATCAAACCCATATGTATATCATATCAAATCTATAGGTCTTTGCTAATTTATTTTCTAGATATTTCCATGCTTTTATGAGAAACTGGGAGCATCCAGATCGATGCCGACATGAAGATGGAACACTTACTTGTGTTGGTCAACCACCATGTATCTGGCAAGATGCTGATCAGTGGCGAATCGGATGCCCTAATCTGTTTGGCAATAATAACTGGCATTATATCCAGACAATTCGCAATACGGATAATATCTACCCTGAATTTCTTAAGGTATTAGTTGAGGGTTATCGTGATGAACCAGATTATCAACAATCAGATTACAATTGTTTCTTTGTTGCAAACCGGATGAGACACGGTCGTTACTGTGGTAAGTTTACCATATGCGAAACATATGTAATTAATACTAATTAAATAGATTTTATCCATCGGAAAGGTGCTGGAAAGCTGGTGGTAACACCATGCTCTGTGAAATTTGATCTTTATATCCCGCAACATTGGAGTCGATACCCATATGTTCTATTAGTTGGCCGTGGTAATCATTCTCACTTTCCTCCACCACCTAATAAGCTTCCCTTTACACTTCGAACGGAGCTTCTAGAGGCTATTGCAGAGCATAATGTTCTCGAGATTACTTCACGTACACTGATGCTTTCGCCTCTTATGAAGACATTTCTTACAGCACATGGCAAAGCAGCTATCCGCGGTCTTCATGGGAGTTTATTAATTGAAGATCGAATTACAGCTCTTATTCGAAAGCAAAAATTGCTTCAGTATCCTCAGGGTTCTGATCTTGCAGGGGTTCAACAAGAATTTGAGTTTGAAAAAAGCCGACAACCAGAAGAGCAATGGATTCGAGATATCTATTTCTTTGATGAACAACAGAAATATTACTCAATCATATGCTGTACATATGAACAGGCTAAGGCCTTTCAAAAGGTACGTCATATTGAAATGGATCTTGCCTTCAAAACAGTTCAGGGCAAAACTATGGTCTACAGTATTGCAACCTACAATCGAGAGGCAAGACAGATCAACACATATGCATATGTGTATATCAATTTGGAAAAGCCCTGGACTTATAAGATTCTTTTTGAGCGGCTTTTCAAGGTTCTTGGTGATGTTGGTCGGAAACCTATCAGGTGGGCATATCAGTCTGGTGGACATGATTCAAGTGAGGGGATTCGTACTGTTACACTTGATATGAGCAGATCACAAGCTCGTGGTATGTCTAAGAGAAACATACGTATTACATATGTCTTACATATACTAATTATTCATATAGGATTTGGTGAATACCTTGCTTCTATCATGCCTAAAGCTGGCTTATCATGGAATGAGCATTTGTTTCATGTCCTTGTCTTCTGTGAGACCCATGTTCGACGTGCATTTCTCAAGAGATGGCGAGATCATCCAGGTATTGGGGCTATTGATGATCTTCTTGTTGCAAACAGTATTCATAAAGTCTATGCAATCATGAAAGATGCATCTGATAAGTGGCCAGAAACAGCGTTCTGGTTCAAGAATAAGCAAGTGCCCTGGATACTATCCGGTATAACACGAGAGGCTTCGAAAATACCAATTGATTGGTGGATAGCGGCACAGCATCATACCGGAAGTTGTGAGAGCAGTCATTTCATGGATAATGAAGCAGTTGGGCGAAAGAAGTCACTCTTAGGTGCTATTCTAGCGTATGATTCACATTCACATATGTCTAGCATATGACTAACTTATTTAAAACAGAACAAAGCGTCATATCAAAAGGATGTATGCTAAAACCCGTGATGCAACTGAAGCCGGTCGTTATTCAACATGGCGGGATTCGAATCATATTACGCGTGTCGCAAAATCAAATCGGAAGAAGAATTCTCAAGAACGTTCTTCGGCTCATCGATTTCGACGCCAAGGTATCGCTCAGCAGCGATCTTCTAATGTGTATATGAGTATTGAACCTTTAATGCTGCCACCTCCACAGTCTGGAATACAATCAACAGATGATTTTCAATCAGATACTCTTTCAATGTCTGACTCTCTCGCCTCCCGGCCTCAATCTCGATCAACGTCAAAATCTATATCAAGACAACCTCAAAGTTATGAAAGAATTCAGGTAGAGACAGAGAATCAAGAATTACGTGAGCAACTTGCAATACTCAAGGCAAAAAAGGAGAATAAACGACTTCGGGAGGAGCTTCGACAACTTTCAAGACAGTAATCACATATGGATAGAATATCTTTTGCATAAGAATAGAATTGAATTGATCAATCACTTGTAAAGTTCATCATAAAGCGTAAACATGAAGAAATCCTATTCACACACTCACAGTATCACCATCTCCATCCTCATCATCATCACCGTTATCAAAAGCATCAGAACTGCTAGTCTCCATCTGTTCATCCTCTTCCGATTCATCCTCATCTTCTTCCGAGCCAGGAGGAGAAGGACGTCTGACTTGATAAGGGCCCATTCGCAAAACTGGTAGAGGTGACTGAGCTCGTCATCTTCATCGCTATCACTGACGTCAGTATCAATATCCATATCAGTATCAGTATCGTGATTGTCTTCGTCATTGTCAGAGGGAGGATCCGCAAGATTGTCAGTAGCGTTAAGCTGCATAAGATTCATGAATGGGATCGGAGCAGGTGGAGGGTTTTGGCCACGCTACATATGATTAGCATAGAGATCGCGTATGAAAACAACAATAGCCACTTACGCGTCGGCCCCGGCCTCCACTGGTTGGGGCCACAGGTTGCTGGTCACGATGATAAAGAAGCCCAAACTCATTGCACCAGTCATCGTCATTACGAGCGACAGTTGACATGCAATCTGCCCAGTATCCGACAATACTGGCTGCCGGTCCGCGACCTGGTTCGTTCATGAAATAAGCATTGCGCCACTCGCCGGATCGGATGTAGTTGACCAGTGCCAAATGACCCTCGTTCCTTTCGAGACGCGAGATTGGCTTCCGGTCAGGGTTCCAAACTACAACATATTAGCATTTCTTTCCCAGATGTTGAACATATGTAGAGCATATACTTACAGCAGCCAGAATGAACCATGCGGAGATGGCGGCGGAAGTCAGGCTGTGTTTCGAAAGTCATACCGCACTGGTGAGCCGGGACGATTTCAACAACTGGGCAAACGAGGAGATTCATCTTCGACAGTGTCAGACGAGGATTTGGAGGCTGGTCATTCACGTTGTCGATGTCCCCGGCAGTGATATTGTATCTTGGATTGCCAGCGGCCTGTGCAGTGTGCCATGCAGCAGGTTTCCAGTTCGGGTTCGGATCGATCACAGGGCCTGGATATGATTTGAATATGATTAGCATATGTTTCAAAGGCTTCAAATTGTCTTGGAACTCATCAGACCATGAAAGTATCCCCAAGCAGGATGAGGGTTCACTGCAGTGTCGACTCCAGGCGCTTCAAAGAAGCCGCGTGAGAGTTGATGACCCGTAAACATTGCGAACGAAGTGTGATCAGCCATCGTGGAGTGCAGAAAGATGAAGCAAGAGATAAGTGTTCGATATGTTGAAGATATGTGAAAGAGATGAAGAGATATGATGGTGATGTTGTTTATATATATCGCGGATCCGAGTCCTTTGTTGTCATTCACTGCACGAAGCGCGTGCCTTCCAAATGTATGCTATTTACAGCTTAAAAGGAAGGAGCGACAGCCAATGGCGTCATTAACTCTTTTATTCACCCAAAACATATGAGAACCATATGTTATTGAAGTTTTTTAAGTATACAAAAACTGAGTATAGTATATAGTAGTCGTAGAATTTAGTATATATGACAGCAGCCAATAAAAAGGCTATAATTAGACCCACCGGGGGTTAAAAACACGGAACAACAAAGCACCGAAAGTGGGTCCAGGTCACGTTATTATTCTTACCCCCGTTCTGCTGGAACCCGGCCGATATATCAGCCGATATATCGCCAAATTTGCTGAGTCACGCGTGTCGGCCAATCAGAGCCTTAGGAGCTGCTGAATCATCTATACTAACCAATCAGAAGCCTCCATTTATACCTGTTAAATCGTATCTCCAAAATATATATTTGATTACATGCAACTACCATTATGACCTACCACCACGCCCATGCAGTAATTAAAACAGAAGAATACAACGCAAGGTCAAAGAAAAATCGTAATTAAGCCACAATAACCGTAAGAATACAGCACAGAGAGAATAAACAGCTAAACACCACGGCCATAAGCCTCTTACGGCCAAGTCCTAGTGAATTTCTAAAAGGATCGTACGCAATGCCTTGACGAATGGAGTATTTTGTTAGAATGGGCTTCACGATCAACAGAGCGGAAATATAAATTACTTCGGTGCAACTGCCGCGCATATCACCACCTATAAAATGATCGGCGACATAGATGGCATAAAGCCAAGTGGCGACTTTGATGATACCCAGAAGCTCAAGGAAAGGCGAGCTCCATGGGAATTCAGGATTATCGCCATGTTCTTGCATGGGAATCTGAGCGATGTCACGCCGACGCGGTTAAACATCCAGAAGACCACGAGCGAGCTGCGGCCGTAGGAATTTAGATTGTTGGCTGACAGTGTATCTTGCGCTGGCGGGTTGGCGAAGGGATCTGGAAGGCCAACGAGACAAATGAGGAGAGCAGGAACAAGAGGAATTAAGCCGTGAGGCTGGAATATGGGTGAGCCACTTCTCGCAAAGATGATATTTCCGGCCTAGGAACAAACCCTTTCATAAATTACCATTATTACAGGCCAGCGCTGGTTGCAGGGGACAGATACATTTGTACTTGGGTTCCCCGCACTGCCAGGGCAATTTGCCGTCTCAAAACGCCCCATCACCATCCGTCATCGGGGTTGCATTGATTGGTGGGCCGCCTAGTTTAAAGTTTTGCTGATGATGTTTCTCTGTTTGGCCACGATCATGGGGCCTTGCAGGCGCTGCGGTTCAAACTCCGCTCCACAGAGTTTTCCAGATTACCCCGGAATGGAGAACATGAATGGACAGGAGCTCATACATTTAATGTGGCTTCGTGGCTAAGCGGATCATCTGAACTATGAGACTCCCAGAAAGGATCGTTATTGCACCCAGACCTTGCGACCCCGTTTTAGCATGAAGTCCAAAGTTTAGCGAAAAGGCTAATTGAGCTCTGGCACCTAATAAAACCGGGGAATATTTCCCCCGTACCCCCTTTTCTCTTCTATTATATGCTAATCTTTACTCGTGGTCCTCTCTAAAAAATTAACCTCACCTTCGCCGATTCCGTTTCCAGGCATAGATGATGGTCTCTCCACTGCGTAGGAGTCTCCAATGGCATTCTGGTCTGCAGCATCAGACGACTCTAGCCATAATTCTCTGTTGCTAATATTTCTCACTGGTGTCATGAATGAATGAATTCTGCAATGGCCCCTGTACCTTCCTTGGGTGAGGCACCAGATGGGCTTGTTGGAGGCTATCAAGGAGACAGCACCGTTATCAAGGTGATCATGGGCGTCCTGATCGCCATCGTGTTGTACAATGCAGTCGAACTCACAGTGCTCATTCTCATGACATTTCATCGCTACTGGGGTCTCTACTTTTGCTCTTTGACGCTTTCCGCAACTGTTGGGCTTATACCCAGTGGTATCGGCAATCTCCTACACTTCTTCGACATTGGGCCGTTGAGTTTGGCCCTCGCACTATCTAATGTCGGGTTCTACTTCCTGGTTCCCGCTCAATCCGTTGTTCTATACTCGCGACTCCACTTGGTACTTTTCAACCAGCGACTCTTACGTTTTCTCTTCTGCGCAGTGATCATCAACGGTATCATCTTTTCCATCCTAGTGACGATTATGTCATTCGGCTCAGCCTTCATGCAGACTGGCCCGTGGAATGGGGGTTATAAAATCGTGGAGCGGCTGCAAGTGACCTGGTTTTGTGTGCAAGAATTCGTTATCTCGATGCTGTACATCCGGGAGACTATCAAGCTACTCCAGCTTCGCCCTACGAATAGCAAGCGCCGAAAAAATACCATGTACCAACTGTTGGCCATCAACATCCTTATCATGGTTATGGATATCCTCGTTGTTACGATCGAGTTCATCGGCTTGTATTATATACAAGTCTTGTTGAAGGACACCATTTACAGCATCAAACTCAAACTTGAATTTGCTGTACTTGGAAAATTGACTACAATTGTGGAGGCTGGTCATATTGAACCTGTCCGGAGTAGCCACAGTAATTGGTCCGATCTCGAAAGTGGCCAACGGCGTGCGCCATCCAATCTGACAGAGTCGCAAATAATGTCAAATAACGCCATATCCCGCTTTGAAGCAAACAACGCAAATACATACGACTACCTAGATGAGTTTGGTCTAACAGGTAGCACGTCGCATACGCAAGATCCCTCTATATAACGCAAAGCGCAAAGCACAAAGACTTTCAACCACAATAATGGATTCAGCATTTCATAGTGAAATTCTTTTTACAAGATAGCCACTACTCTATGTCTTTCTGGCTCCCGGAAATTTGGCATCTGTACGGGTTTTTGGATGACTCTAGTGCGTATTTACCAATCGTCATACAGAGAGGAAAATCATTGATGAGTGCTACAGGAAGATCGTGTAGCGTCTGAGAGGGAGAAGCTGGGTATTTAGAGAGAGCCTGACCGCAGTGTATTTTAACTTCTATATATTCTGGAGCTAAGGTAGCCCTTAGATTACGCAAAGATATGTTGATATGCTCGAAGCTCTTATTTTATAAGAGTCACCAGCGCCACGCTGCTGGAATTAGCCTCGTCATTTGGTTCCCCACTGGGCTGTCTAATAACCTTGTCTTTACTCTCTCGACACGCTACGCATGCCATTGAAGTATTATGTCTTCCCTTAGATGGAACTCTTCATTTATTGTAGGGAATTGATGCTACCAACCTCCCCTTCCTCTTAACGTGGTCGGTAAGCGAGTGGCGCATGTAAGCGAGTGACGCACCCGCCCGATCTTCCTACACTTTTATAGATATATATCAACCATACCGCCTTTATATTCATTATTATCTATTTGGACAAGCATTTTTCTTATGCCCTATTTCACTGCAATTACAGCATTTAGGTAGGGCCCGTGCCCTCGGTGCTTGCGTACCCTGCGCTGGTGGCACTCATGGACCTGGTATTACCTGAAAGAACGCATTATGAGCTTCCTCGAGCTCTATTGCTTCTTGTACAGATAGACGATTATCATGGGCTATCCACCTAATCGTACGAGCACGATTTTTCTTCTGCACAGAATTTTTCTTGTGTAGCTGTGTGTTTTCTTGCTTGAGAAAGATACCGTTTTACATCACGATTTGACAGCCTTTAATAAGCTGGTTTAGCGCGATCTATGACGGTGATAGGGGACTTTTTGAGCGTCTTTTTAGGAAAGCTTTGATTAAGTCTGCTTACTTATAAAACTTGTCCATATTTGCGGGTGTATAAGGGTAAAAAGCGCTTGCTTAACTGTCATAACTTCTGGAGGTGTAAGCGTATAAAGCTGAATATTAAGCTTTAATAAGACTAATTTTGAGTTAAGAGATATTAGTCCTGTAGCTTTAAAGCTATTCTTGATTATATCTGATTTGAATACGTCAGAACAGGCCTGGATGTGAGACCCCTAGGTATAGAATGCCTAAGGGAATGCTGTATGTAACGGAGGATTGGGAAATAGAGATAGTGATATACGCAGTTATATATTGGAAGTTGAAATATTCTATTATAAGACGATCCCTTTCTATATAGAATCGTTTATATTCCTCTGTAATTCGTTTAATAGCTTCCTTAGACTTTCCATTCTCTGTAATTAGGATTTAGATTTCGTCTTATATTATCTAGTTATTATCTTCGACTATTTAGAACTAATTAGCTAGCTTAACGAATCGTTCCTTACTAGGAGTTGTATATATAATCTCTTAGATAGAAGGAGTTGAAGGACCCTCCTTAGAGCTATTATATTTAATACTTTTAATTAGGTCCTATATTCTAGTAGGAGTCGGGGTTTTAAGGTTTACAGCTTCTTCTACGAGGCGATCCGGTACTATAGGTTATTTTCCCTTACCAATCGCGGCAATCTATTATAGTAGAACTATAGCTAGTCCTATTCTAGTAAGTTTTAGGATAGGTAGGGTAAAACCAGACTAGGACCGATTGTAATAATTATCTATATAGTTATATAGCTTCGAAAGTTTAGGTTTAGGGTGATACTTAATATTATATTATATACCAGGTTCTTTTTAATAGAAGAAGTGTATTGCTAATCGAATATCAAGTATAGAGAAAGAAAAGAAAAGAAAATAAACGTAAAACAATAAATGGGTCTTTATACCCCTTCGGGGGCAAAGCCCTATCCTTGCTTATCCTAGAAGGAAGGTACGATTGCCTGCGCAAACGAGAAGGAACGACCAACGGTACAATCCCAAACGGGAAGGTACAAGTTCTACAAGTGCCAATCGTGACAGGCAGTATGACTCGAAGTATCCTTATCCTACTGGCTGTTCGAGGACGACTAGTGGCTCTAGTTGCACAGCTTCCTCTATTTGGTATTTAATATTGTATATCGTGGGCTGTCTTTACGTTACATGCACATGAAGCCAAAACCTGGATTCAATCAGAATTTATTTCGCCGAGTTATAATTTAAAGGCTTATCTGACCTGCATTTCCCCCAAGCCACACTAGTTTCCGTTAAAAAAGGTCCGCTGTTCAGTCACTGCGCCCATTGAGCTGTTGGGCGAATCCCTTGGTATCATCAATAGTAGCCTGTCCACTCTGAATGAGGGATCTCAGTTCATTTGCCAGTGAAGGTGCCCGCTCCGCCTCTGGTATTTCTCCTTCATCGACTACCACGGCGTGGAAGTCTAGCACTATGCCTTCTATCTGGTTATCAATTTCCTCTTGTAGTGATTTGAGGCTTTCGGCCATGACTCCACCGTAGACATTCTTGGCATGTGTAGAGTATTTGGAAAATAACCTGGAGTATCTCAAGTGGTCTTCCATGTGACTCTTTCGCCGTTTGTCACAACCTTCTCCTGATATACGGTTAATGACTAAAGATGATGTTGCCAAGAGGAATTTTCGCGTACCTCCCTCACTGTTACAATGATTATAACATGGCTCCATGAGCATCGAGATAAATGAATCAGTATGATGCTCTAGCATGTCTCGCTTGGTAATTCTGAGAGATTGTTAGACCCGTTGCTACACTATATGTTCAGGTGAGATTTGCCATACTGTGTCTTTAGGATGAGGTTTCTCATCTCATTCTTGATGTGTGTATTGATATTCTCTCGTCTATGTCCCATGTTGACAATGATGTTTTGCAGCGCGTGGGGTGCAAGATGCTGATGCTCTGTAAATATGCAGGATATTAGAACGAAACGTTAGAAAATGTGTGTTTTCAAAAGAGAATAACGACTTGCCTTGGATCTCGAAACGTAGTAGTTGAAATGACATGTCAACCCCATCAGTCAAAATTTCAATTCCTGACTCCAGCCAATCCATTATGTCTTCCCATGCGGGATCCAATGCTTCACGGGCTCGCTGCATGAATT